CCGCGAACCTATGTTTCTCCCACTCTAGATCCAACGCCATCAATACTTCGCTCGACTGCGTTCGGAATCTAATTGCGCTGTGCGCATTCCACATTTAAGCAGCAAATCAAAGAATACGATCATGATAGGATCGTCGATCGGGTTTAATGCAGGTACTGCGCGCAACGCCGCATTCCTCGTTATGAATGCAATATCGCAGTCGACATCGTCTCCTCGGGCAAAGGCATTCTTCGTTTAACGACAATTAGCTCGCGTATGTCTCCCGTAGGATTAACCGAGTATATACCTCATACCGTGCTCACACTGTATATGCCGCGTCATCGGCAAGCTAATATCGACGGAAACGCATTCGTTCTCGAAAATGGTCGTTGCAATTGCGGCCGCCCGATAAGTTCGCCAATTAGTCGATGAAGTGCTACTTAAATGCACGATATTAATTATACCTCGTGTGCAGCGCGCTTGAATGACGAATAAATCGTTCATCCTTTGTCAGGACAGCTTCATTTTGCGATATTGCACTCAATATGTCTCATGCGTTTTACTAATAATTCGCTGCTTGTGATATGCATTTAATATCAAGACCAATTCAAAATTATGACTCACAAGATAAGAATTAATTTTAATCATTGACAATTTCTTGGGATTTCACAAACTTGTTACATATATGATATGATTTTACTGAAGTATCTTTAGTTAGATACAAAATACCGAAAATAATTTTGTCAGATCCATTAAAATAATTACAATATATGTATATAGAACGTTTAAAATTTTTGCAGCTTATCATAGAAATTCTGCAATTATATTAATGAATCAACAAAATTATTTTCGGATTTGTATCTAGTTGAATTTTTAGACACTTCAGCAAAATCGTTCTTTCCGTGTATATATTTATATGTGCAATCATATGTTTTTAATATGTCATGAAGCATGACATGTGATAAGACTTTATGACTTCGCAACAAATACGCACCGAACGCGATAAGACACGGTTTACTTCACTCAACGGGCACAGAGTAATTTGAATTTTCGCCGCGGGCAAGACGGGTTTAAGACAAACGAAACGGGGCCGTCGTCTTATCAAAGCGAAAGCGGCTGGCTGATACTGACGAGGCAATTTGTGCGCGTAGCGTAGCGGCTCGTGCAAACATATATGCTCGCGCGGTGCACAGCCGTCTGCCTGCACGCTCCCAAGATTCGTTAAGGAGTAGATGGAAACAGACCCCCATAGGTACACTTCGGCTTAAGCTGCATAATGGAAAACGACACTCCGGCGACTCCCGTAAGTCTTGAGGATTTGCGCACGGATGACGTAAAGTGACGTAGAAGGGCGACAGTTGGAATTAATTGTTACATACAAATCGTTGCAAGCAAAAATTGAATTTTTAATGCAGACTAATAATTTTGGGGTTAGCGTATATACCAATAGTGTTATTAATATATAATTACAGAAAAATTTATTTTATTTATTGAAAGAATAATTCCACTTGTATGTATTTTTTATAACCGCTTTTTCCATTTAAAATTTATTACGTGATAAATATATTTGGTAACCAATATACTAGCTGTGTAATTATAAGAGTGTCCAATTTTGCTTTAAATTTTAAGAATAGGAGTGACCTGTCTGTAAAAAAAGAGGTTTTTTTTCTGTGGCGGGTCGTAGCATGAAACTTTATGATAACGGAGTTTTCTTCCGGAAGAAGAGTTTAACGGGCAATGTCTGACTTTACAGATTAGAAAGTTAAAATACTACTAGTCTAACTTGTTTATTTCATATACCAAATAACAGACAAAGTTCAACTCTTTGCAATTGTTTGTGAGTGGACAAAATCTCTCATTCAAAATTGTAAGAAATTAAAATAAAAAATTCACAAAATACATACATATTATACACATATATATATATATATATATATATATATAATAATGATCGGTGTTGTTGAAAATTATTAAACAGTATTTTTAAAGTAGTAAAAAAACATATTTAATGACAATATATATATATTTTTATTACAAATAAATAAAGAAAATCATATTCAATCAAAGCAAGTCTTAATATCTGATAATATTTTTATGTGAATTTTGCAATTTGCAGTTTAAGCAAACTGCGCGCAGATTATTTGTAAATGAAATGCAATTTTAAACTAAAGCTTGAATACGTAATATTACAAATTAAATTGACAAGCAATTTAATAATACTTTAATGCTAATTGTAAAATATTGTAAAGAATTTATTATGAAAAAAATTATCACAGAATTCAGACCTGAATCTTTCTCATTCCACGGACATCCTACTATCAAAACAAGTGGTGATATTTGTCACAATAATCAGTATATATTGAAAAAAAGAAATATATTGAAAGTTAAGAAACCGAATTGATTAATGATAATTGGGTAGAACCAAACCCAACTACATCCAGTGGTCATATAAAAATATTATTCAACATTCAAACCTGCTTTGACTGAATATAGCTTGCTTATTTGTGTCGAATATTTCTCTGTCAATTTATATAAATTAATAATTATATAAATATATAAGTATCAATTAATTATTATATAATTATATAAATATATAAGTATCAATTAATTATTATATAATTATATAAATATACAATGTTTTTTAATGTTCCCTATATATAATATTTACATTTTTCACTGTAATATAACGAATACAAGGATATTGTATACCAGGAAGTGCCGACCACACCGGAAAATATATAAAGCAACGAATTATTGCAGTATGTGCGACAATCGGTCCAGAAATGTTAAAAAGTATACGTACTTCAGGGATTCAACGATTGCAGTATTGCATTGATGTAAACTGATATCACTTCGAGCACTTCTCGTGACGTAAGAATCATTGCTTTACTTCTTTATTTAATGACGAATGGCCTTTTATATGAAATATACGGAATTCCTCTGTTTCTTTAGTGGTCCTCCGTTTCCTCCTCCGTTTCCTCCTCCGTTTCCTCCTCCGTTTCCTCCTCCATTTCCTCCTCCATTTCCACCTAAAAAAAATTATTACCTGCATATATTATGATATCCTCTTGAAACCGTACAACTTTTGTAATTATGTACATTTAATATTTTCATATCTCTAAAAATAGTGGAGATCATTCAAAATGGACAAACTTATTGTGTCGCACTCTGCAATATATATATATATTTTTTTTTATGTGTGTGTATATATATAATATATATACATAAAAATACACTACTTATTTTTTACTTCATAATATTGTAACTGATATCAAGACGAGTTCAATGACCTGATATATTATGACCTTAAGATGGCCTTACAGTCAGACTGTTCTACAGTAGAAAAAAATTTGTGTATCTGTTACTTTTTCACAGATTCTTGTTTTTTAAATGAAACTACATACAAAACAACAAATTATAACCAAAAATAGTAGCATAACAAAAAAGTAGAACAAAAATTAATAACAAATTTAATGAAAGAAATTATGTAATTACAATAAGTGTTCGAATTGTAGTTCATTTTCTTGTAGGCACAATTCTGCTCTATGTAATTAATTTATTTCCATTAGTTGCTCCTATAATGTTGTCACATATATATATACATATATAAAAGTAGCGTACTATTGTTTATTTATATATTTTTATTTTAATTAACTTTTGTTTGTAATGTTAGATTTATGAACATTGGCTTAATTCTACGTAGCTTTAAAAATATTATTTTTATTATAACATTTTTTAAATATTTTTTTCTATGTAGAGAAAGAAAGATACACATTATTACATTTTCTATAAATATAATCTTTAATTAAGTGATATGTAATTAAATACCTAATATGTAATGTGTCATATACAAATTTTAACGTTGAATCAATGAGTGTTTTTTAGATTTTACAAGAACATTTAACTAGTATTTGTTAGACATATCTGATATTAGGATGTTTATATATATTCCATTATTCATTACTATAAATATTACATATATTGAAATATATTTAGAAATTCATGTTTGTTTATCATATTGCGTTGCATATTTAATAAGTTGTTATAAGTTGTTATTATATAATTTATAATAGCCTAGTACATTTTCTTCTTTTGTGATCGAAGACAGAACCAAACTCTAACGAATGCATAGAGGAAATGATTTGTTTGGACTCAAGAATTCTATTTACGTTTGTTTCATTGAAACAAACTTAATTTTAAATGAAACATATTGTATTTAATTTTAAAAACAATTAATTTTAATGCAAATAATCATGTTCTTAATTTAAACATTATTTGAGATTGAGCTATTTCAATGCATAAAGTTTAATTTAACAAAATATCTCTATACTAATGAGCCTGTTATCATACCAGAAGTAGTAGTGGTGGGAGTAGTTGTGGTGCTGGTGGTGGTAGTAGTAGTAGTGGTAGTGGTGGTGGTCGTGGTTGGACAGCAACTTTTGTCTTTTTCACAGCAACAGTCTTTTGGTAAAAGAAAATTTAATAATGGACAATGTGCTAAGAGTTCCTTGAAATATTCTACAGACATAGAGTTCAATATCGCACGCATGTTTAGATTCGCTTACGTTCGACTTGACTTCTTGTGCTTTGGTATAGAATTGTGATGTTATATACAGAGAGAGCGAATTTTTACATCGAGTTTCTAAACATTTACCTATTTCTTATCATTGATATCGGATAATACGCTTTTGTATTATCACTTGCCTTGCAATTATTCTTTGTTGCAATTAGGTCTGTTACACATAGAATACGTCAACGCGTTACGCGTTGCAAGAAACAACGCGATAGCCAATTAGATTCTGATCTGGAAGAGTCTAATTAGTTACCGCGTCGTCTCTTGCCACATGTAACACATTGACATGTTCTATATGCAACAGACCTAATTGCAACAAAGCATGACTGCAAGACAAGTGGTAATACAATAGCGTATTATCCGATATCAATGGTGAAAAATAGGTTAACATTGAGAAATTCGGTATAAAAATGCTGTAGCATTATGATTCTGTACCAAAGCACTAAGTAGAATCCGAAGATAAGCAAATCTAAACATGCGTGTGGTATTACTACTCCTTCTCGTGGCTTTTGTCACGATTAAAATGGCTGTAAGTATTAATGCAGAAAATAGAATTTTAATAAAATAGAATTTTATTACAGCAAAAAATCATAAGTTACTTTAAATTTAATTTAATTGTGTAATATATATGAGGCATTCCATCCCAAGTGTGCCACTCGAAAACTATTGGATTTTTAATTTGACTGAAATTTTGATATATTATAGTACTCATCTCAAGAAGCTATCATGATTTTTTTCGAATTTTTTTAACATAGTCATGAGATATGAATTTTTTTCAAAATTCACAATTTTCAAATGCCTATACCTTTGTGAAAAATAATCCAAATAAAACGTTTTTTTTAAAAATTGTTTTTTTCTCTAGTTAAAAAAAAAATATCAAGAAAAGTTTCAAAATTGTTTTTTAATTTTTTTTTTAATTTAATGTAAAAAAATTATTAATTTTTAATGTATGACACGTTTAATTTTTTAGAAAAAATTCTCATAAAAACTTAGATTTATTTGATGATTTTTAAAACTAATTTGATCGTGGGCAAATTTTTCCTTCTATTTTTTTCCGAATTAATTTTTTTTTCAATTTTGCATTTTTTTACACGATAAAATAATGTATAGATATAAACTCGTGACTTTTTCATTTCCTAAAATTTTTGGTTTATTCTCAATGTAATAACTTATTTTTTTATAAGGGCAAAACTAATCAAATTTAGTAATTTAAAAAGCTTAATTCTTGCATGTAGAACTGTAGCCGTACTTTTACAAATAAGATTGGGCAATAATAACAAAAAATGCAAAATTGAAAAAAAATTTAATTCGAAAAAAAATAGAAAGAAAAATTTACCCACGATCAAATTAGTCTTAAAAATCATCAAATAAATCTAAGTTTTTATGAGAATTCTTTTTTTTTAAATTAAACGTGTCACACTTTAAAAAATGAATAATTTTTTACATTAAATTAAAAAAAAAATTAAAAAACAATTTTGAAACTTTTCTTGATATTTTTTTTTAAACTAGAGAAAAAAACACACAATTAAAAAAAAAACGTTTTATTTGGATTATTTTTCGCAAAGTTATAGGCATTTGAAAATTGCGAATTTTGAAAAAAATTCATATCTCATGACTATGTTGATAAAAAAATTTGAAAAAAATCATGGTAGCTTCTTGCGATAGGTACTATAATATATCAAAATTTCAGCGAAATCAAAAATCCAAAAGTTTTCGAGTGGCACACTTGGGATGGAATGCCCCAATATATATATTTTTTTAAGTATTTAACGTTAATTTGCATGCACACATTGTATATTTTTATCTCCACAGAATGCCACTCCAGGATTTATGGAGGATCTTTTGGAACATTGTCCATTATTACACTTTCTCTTTCCAAAAGACTGTTGCTGTGAAAAAGACAAAAGTTGCTGTCCAAAGACAACCACCACCACCACCACTACTACTGCCGCTACTACCACTACCACTCCCACCACCACTACTCCTACTACGGTCGCTTAGCACCATTATTTACGCCACAGAAGTCAGAAAAAATAGAAAAAGTGGGGGTAATTTATATGCAACCACTTTGTTATATGCTTTTATGTTATATTAGTATTGTGTTATGATTTGAGATTTTACTATTAATATTAATAAAATTACTGTTAAATCGATTTGTTAGTGTAATAAGTAACGCAATCATATCCACATAAAACGATTACTGTAGGGATTGCAAAAGACTTAATGGTTATTTGGTGATATATATATATATATATATATATATATATATATATAAAAAAGTATAGATTATATATATATATATATATATATATATATATAAGTGTAAGGGGATATTAAAGAATGGAATACACCAAAATACAAGTGCTTAATTTTTATATTCTTTGTTCAGCTTGATGTCTTATACATCTTATCTGTTTGGGATATACAGCATTTTTAGCGGGGGGGATTAAGCCCATAGTATACGAGAAGTGCAACAGGCCTTATAGGTACTGATAGTTATATAGAAGGTCAAATTATTCTGCTCTTTCAAGTATGCGACATACATGATAAAATTATTTTGCATTTATAAAGATGTCAAAGTAATACATACGCGTATATAAGTGTGTATAAATTATTATACAAAGTGACACAAAACGCGCCGTATAAAAATATAGATGTGCTTTATTTCAAACCGTTTCAGACTGTTGCTCGTATTCAGATGAACAGCTACTGTAACACAATGTTAAGATGAATATATTTTGAATCAGTTTTATTCATCGGAATATTTTTTTTTTATACAAACAGTCAATGTTCTTTAATCGTTAAGAGAAATATATGTTCTTATCATCAAGTATTTAAGTAATCGAGTCATTTTATACACCTATTATTGCATCTATTAATGTTACATTTTGTTGGATTATATGTTATTAATTATTATACGTTATTGGATAATGACATGCAAAAGAACAGAGAAATGACGAAAAAATAATTATCGACAATTCATATAATTTACCTTCGTATAAGCAATACTATTGCTGTGCGCAAAAATTATAATGTTTCTTTATGACTTAACAGATTTAAATGTCAGAATTATATAATGAATCACGTTACGGGATATTTTTATATGTAATATGAAAACGCGTACAACTTCTCGATAACTCAGCCACTGTATACAAATTGCTGATATCTTTTTTCTCTCCTCAAACCAAAAAGAAAACTCTTGGTCGTCCATTATCATTCAGTGATAGTCAGTCTACTGACTACCGTCGTTGACTATGAAAGCTGTATAAAGTTGTCAAATCAAACAAACAAATATTTTATGCAATAAAGTCTCTCAAGCATAAAGCATGCCGCAATTAAGTCGTAATCGGCGATGGAATCCTTGACCTTACCGAAGGCGAAGAAAATGCAGAGGAAAAAAAAGAGGAAGACGTATGCAAAGCAGGGTTACGTAGTCTCAGTTGCGGCGCTTAACTGCGCCAAACTCTCTTCTCGCGATGCCGCGGGGATGGTGAACTACTACTACTACGACTACTACTACTACTACTGCTGTGCTTTTTCCGCTCCCTCCCTGCGTACTCACGTGCACGCCTCACGACGCTTTCATTCATAATTAGAGAAAAAACAGAGAAGTAGCGAGAAAGAGCGAACCGTCTCGGAAGGAAGCGACGAAAGAAGAGGAAACGAGGTGTGCGAGAGAGCGAGGGAGACGAAAAGAGCACGAGCGAGAGAAGCTCAGTACGGCTTGCGTAGTGGAAAGAAAGAGTCAATGAAGAAAGTGGCGTAGTAGGGAGGGGGTTCGGGTTGGAGGGAGGAACAGGGGTTGGTGCTCAATGAATAAGAGAGTAAGAGCGCGACGATGCCGGCGAATAAGGACGGAATAGTCAAATGGTGGCAGAGATGGCAGGCGAGGTAGAGGGTGAGCTCTGTGTGGATGTGTGTGTGTTTGTGAGACGCGGCGAATCTTAAAGACTTTCGCCGTTCTGTTAATTTTCTTCTCAAAGTGGGTTAAATTATTTTACGACTTTCAACGCCAGTTTCTCACCACAGGCGCTCTCTCTCTCTCTCTCTCTCTCTCTCTCTCTCTCTCTCTCT